GTGTCTGAATATGAAAAATTTCACCAAAAAAACCTTGATAATATAATGGCAGATCATCCATAAATATATCTTCAGAAACGGAAACTCTGCAGCACACCGATCCTCATCGATCGAAATAACAGGATGAAAAACTTTGTAGTTAATCGAAAATCCACTTCTCCAATAGGTAAAGGACCACCTTCAAACGTATCCATAGGGGGAAATGCCAAGCACTCGGGAGAAACAGAAAGACTTCATGGTGCAATATTATAAAAACCAATTCCTTTATTAGGTACTCATTGCACTTACTCAAGAGGTGTCCCAGCCGACACCAGCATCAACAGCATAACAGCAGTCACATAAACGAGCCTGGCTACTCAGCACATGCGCAGTAGCTGGCAGCCAAAAACGTAATGACGTCACATCAATCAAGCCCCGCCCTACGCGTTTCGTCATCGACGTCCTCACGGAGCGGAAGTAAGGCCGTCGATGACGAAACGCGTAGGGCTTCGTATATATTTATATATTTATACACATTTACTAGCGCAAATTATTTATTTATTGGTACACTTTATATATGGTGGTTTTTTGCAGCTGGTACATTATTAGTAAGTTATATAATTTTGACCATAGGCGCTATTATTAATTTTTCTTATAGATGGAGGAATCTGCTCCGCTGCAACACTGACAGCAGAAAGTCCCTCTGTCAGAATACAGAGTACACTGACCGATGAAAGTTTTCCAGCGTGGCTGTTCAACAGAAATCAATCTTCTGATCGACTTCTGTCGAACAGGAACGGCCAGACACACATCGAAATTCGACCGGTTCCTGCTTAACACTGGTGTCCCCAAGCATCAATTAGGTGATTAAACTCTTGCAGCTTTTTCGATGGGATGACTGACACCTTATTTTAGAAATCTTGGTAAAGTTTTCTAGATTGAGTTTAATATTTTTTTCTCTCTCTCAAGTGAATAATCCACTACTTCTCACCAGATTTACCACTGAAAAATGCCATCAGTTTTAGCATAATTTGAAGGATTCTATTAGTTCCACTACTCTCGTTACTTCATAATGTATATAAATGCTGTTAAATGTACATGCCCATTGCTGTGTATTTAAGAACAGTGAACCAATATAACTGTAGGAGAAGCATTGTTTAAATAAGGAGAGCAGTTGCAGCCGCCATGAGTACAGTTCTCCATAGGAAATAACGTGGTGCACTAAGAGGACAATGATACTTGGACAAAAGGCTGTGCGGCTCCAAGTGAGACCACAAAGTGAATATTGCTGGATCGAGGTATTTATCCTGTTGGGCTGCACTCATGGGGAAGGTAAGAAGGATAGGTTGCAGTTTGCTCCACTTGTCCTTTAGTAGATCTAAAACCACTAAAATCATACAGTATAAGCTTTAACATATTAACGTATTACAATAAAAATTAATTGTTTAATTCCCGAAGGTCCTATTTGAAGCACTTCCCTCGAATTAAGCTCCTGTGTTGTCTACTTGTCACATGCTCCTCGGGGGAGATTAGAAGCACCTATGCCGACAACCATTGCTCAGGCATGTTCTACCTTTGTCACTATTGGAACGCCAGTCCAGAGCAGTGATGTGCATCTGACAGCCACAGAAATTTATGTAGACAAAGCATCTGCAAAAGACTGGAGGAGATCGTCAGCACTGAGATGCAGAAAAACTAAATGCAGTAGTGCAAGCTTCAATGGGACATGTAAAAAAAAAAAAAAAAAGCAACAGGGCACCAGGATTAGTATGTAATAAAAAAAACAAAAACAAAAAAACCCCCATTTTATTCAAAGGCAAACCTACATCCGATAAGGCTTAACTCCAACTTCAGAGGCAGTTAGGGGACAGCAAGAGAGGCAGCAGTCCTACTGGCTGGATCGGCAGCTGCTGAAGATAAGACAGGGGTCCGCCTAAGGGGTGGATGGATGGATGGCTGGCACCACACCAATGGTAGGAAAAAAGAACAATGTAACACAGAAGAGGGCGGACACTATATGTTTTTGGGTCTCTGTCCCCATATGTCAAGGTAGAAATACGCAGCGGCCTGCCCGCTCTTGTGTTATGTTGGCCTTGTCAATGGTCGGAGTCTACGGCCGTGGAAGCTGCCGGCCATCCACCTCTTTGGCTGGTCCCTATCTTGTATTCAGCAGCTGCCTCTTAAGTTGGACTTATCAGATGTAAATATGCCCATGAATAAAGTGTTGTTTTTAGTACATACTAATCCTGGCACCACGCTGCTGTTTGTTTACATGTTCCAATCCGGAATTGATCCCAAATCTGCCCATCAGGAGCTGCTGGATTTCTGTCTACCATGATTGTTTGGCTTTCTTCAATTTCTCCATGGACACTATGGAGTGTATATATTTATCATTCTCTAGTATTTGGAGAGCTGAATTTAATTGTACTCTGTACACAGTATCTGCATCACTTTCAACGGGGTCTAAGAATGACTTAATTAGACTGTATAGAGCACTGTCCCATTGCATGAGAAGGATATCTATTTTCTCCATGCGTGTGTTTTTGCAGCTAAAGTTGTGTGGTGTGGAAAGATGAAACAAGATGACATTTTTTTATCCTCAATGTAGTACTCTGAATTAGACTGATCATCAAGAGCCTTGCTGCCTAACAAACAGTGCAGAGATGGATGACACCCTGCTTTATTTTAGTGAATCCATGCAAGCTGAACGGTTCATGTGTCTCTTGCACAGATGGATTAGATTCACAGCAATAAAATAACAGCCCCCCGATGCGTGTCGTAAAATGACATTGTAGGCCATATATCAGGCAAGCGAATGGCGAAGAAGACACACACTCATATTGACTCACCAGAATGATTTAGACTTGTTGTCAGGCCATGAGGGTCATCATGGACACCCAGCATTCTATTTGGATGGTGCCTGTTATTATTAAAAAAAAAAAAATAGGACTAGGGAAAGTGAAAATCCTTTTTAACCCTTTGCCTACTAGGGAAAAGGTCTACATTTTTAACCCTTTGTCTGCTGCTTCACATCCTGTGAGACTGGTAGCCCCTTCCTGTTTTCAGAAGGAGATAACAGTCTGAATGGATGTGATTCTGTTATCTGGTGGATCAGGATGCTACTTATGGAGATTGGTTACAATGAAACTTATGTCTACCCATCTCCCTGTGACTTTCATTGGAGACAGTGCTCAATTCTAAACACTTCAGAGTTGGGTATCAGTGCACGGCCAAGGAGACAGGAGACTTTCTGTCCCCAGTTTTCATTGACAGCACAGAAGGGAGATAGCAGGGGTCTATGTAGGCCCCAGATATCTTCAAAAAGATATATACCATTTAAAATTAAAGGTTTAACGAGTTCCCCTTTAAAATAAAAAAAAAGTTTCAGAAATCATTTTTTTATCATCCAAATAATATAATGTTATACAGATGAAATATAGCAATGAGAACAGTACTAGTTACATTTGTGTATCTCCCATTTCACTATTTTGCATAAACCTCTAAATGTAAGCTTAAACATATTTAATTATTAACTAAATGCAATGTCATTTTATATTTTCTTGGGACTTTTAAGATTATGATTTGTTTGTGTGTGGTAAAAACAATTTAGTGTATTTACTGACAATATTGTAATATGCATAACCTGGGGTGTAAAATGGAAGCACAGTCTAGCAGCATAAGGGTTACATTTGAAAAAGCTTTTGATGTACAGTGTTCTAATTAAAGGCTAAGTCCACCTTTCTGACCATGTTTCATATTACACCCATATTTACAATGTATCATTAAATATGGCCACAGTTTGCAACACCCCCCCTCCCCTGCCTGAATTCAGAGGTTCTTCTCTCTGTAATGCCCTGTATATTTTTCAATTTGGGGTGGCCCTGCTTACACAGCCATATCATTGATTCACAAGATCTGGGAATACTACAAGTCCCATTTTCCACCATGGCATAAGGACAAGTAGATGTCAATGAAGGACAAGTACACACCTGTAGTCCCGTAACTGAAGGTGTGTACCTCAATACGGACCTGAGGCTAGAGGAAAAGAAAAACACAGTGACCAAATCATTGCACCTGTGATCCACGGATTGGGGTTGTAGTGCTTTGCAGCCTCTAATGCCAAAAAATAACAAATGCACATTTTTTAATTAATGTGTGTGCACTTATTATATTTTACAAAAGGTAGAAATAGCTTTTAAGTTCTTTCTGCCGAGAGTACACATATATGCGTACCAAAATGTACACAAATTTGTGCTGAGAGCACGCGCCCTGTGCACTCCTGGTACAGTTACCAGTGCCTAATGGAAAGATTCCTACTTGCGATCAGGAGCTTTTCGATCATGTGACCTCTGTGACAGCCAATCACAGTGGTCATGTGATCAAAACCCCCGCCTCCTGGCATCAGAAACCCTTTAAGGGGCGTTGAGGGTTAAAGTGAACTGCTGTTTTGTGTACACGCATCTAAACTGCCAACATAATGATAGTGCCACCTAAAGTAAACAATAATCCATACCAAAGGGGGTCCCTGTGCTACTAACTTTCAAGAGCATAAGGAATAATTTAAAATATCAGGAATGATTTGTGGAATATTTTCCTGCTATTAGGAGAAAAGAAGCTCTGCTGTCTCAGTATGATAGGAATGTTACTGTTTTTGCTCTGTGTGAGCTGAGCTGGAATGCTGTAGTGGATGGCGCAGTCACAAAACACAAAGTTTTTCAGTGCCAGATCCTGGCCAGCATATTGGCTGCACCCACAACTCAAGGCAAGTAAGTGAAATTGTTAACTGGTTTACTACAGTGACTGCAACTACTGCTTCTTTCAAAACAATGCCCTTTTCTATTAGCCTGGTGTTCTTGAGTAAACAAGGCAGTGGTCACTAGCTCTTTGTACAATAAATGGCCACGTTCCCAGGAAATTTCTTTAGCTGGCCATGGTGCTGTACGCCAAGTTGTGCCTAGTACTCACAATTCCTGCTGCCTGGGTACTGTATTCTGCTGCTACAATTATCTTTGATGTTGTGTTTAAGTCCTTAAGGCAGCTCTGGATTTGTCAAGAATATCTTTTCTTATCTTTGGGTAATTGGGATGAACTTCTAAGACCTGTTGAAGAAAGTATGGGATAGTAAAAAACATTTTCCCGATCCGATTAAACAGATGTCATACACAACCTCAGATACAATACATACAGTAGTCAGGGAAGAAATGCAGCAAGTGCTCCCTCTGCAAACAGACTCAGGAATATGTAAAATTTCCACAAGCCATAAATGAAGCCCTGAGAACCCAGAAATGCATTGGTTCTGATAATCTCCTAAAAATCTATTCCACTTTTTCAGTCAAATTTGAAATCCCGCTACTGTATGTTTGTTCTATGCTCCCATTCAAACAGCATACATAAAAAAAAAAATCTTACCTTTCTAGTTGTTACCTTGGAGCAGGTTTTATACATAGGACTTTGTAGGCAGCTTGGAAATGTTCAGAATAGCTTGCAAAGTGCAAATAGGGGACAGAATGTAGGGACAGGTTTTTTTTTTTAAAGTGCAACAACACAATGTACTAGCCAAGCCTTGAGATCCTTAACTCTTCATTAGGATAGTCAGTGTGCACATCTAGTTTACAACTAATAATGAGATCTGCCAGCATAGTACAGAAAGGGTTCAATAAGGTAAATACAAAGAAGGGTTGGAGGATTATATGGTAGAAAGGGCTAACCCAGCCCTATACTGATAGTTCATCAAACCAAACTAATATATAACATAGAGGAAAAAAAGGAGCGTGAAGGTTGGTCAAGGATGACCCATGATGTGTCATCCTTGAACAACACTCACTTTCCTTTTTTACTCGATGTTTATTATGGCAAACATAACTCCCCAACCCCCTACTTAACAGGACATAGAGAAGAAAAGCTAGGTAAGATTTTTAGGCAAGTAAAATGATAAGCAGCCATTTTTAAATAAAAGTTATTCTATGTGTTTGGAAACATGCAAAAAATATATCCACAAATAGCAGATACAGCATGAAGTCTAAAAGTACCTTCATTAATTCACAAATTTTTTTCCTACCCCACCTCCATCTGTTGAAGCCTCAAAACTGTCTCTGACTGTGAGCTATGCTCTGCTATTTCCATTCCAATATCCAGTGTGATCGCCTATATGGCTCTTACTAGGGCCTCATTTACATTTGTGGATGAAGGGACACAGCTGAGTCACACTTTTACTGTCCACCCAACCACTCCCCCTTAAGATGCCAAGACAGTATTGTCTGCATTTTTCCACACTGTACTGGTCGGCATTCTATGTGACACTTCAAATGAGTTTGCAAAAACAACCCCAAAAAAAGAAAACAAAAAAAAACCAAGCCCTGTGATGCGCTGGAACAAGCATGAAACTGATCCTTGCCAGAGCCGACACTGCACTAGTATGCATGATAAAAAGCTGATTTTATACCGTTCAGGATAGTGAAAATGTAGCCATAATTCAGAAATTCAAATAGTGTGTATAATCTCAAGATTCCACAATTTGTTTACAATACATACATTATGGACATTACTACTGCATTCTAGGAATAAACTCTTACCTTGTGGCACACATCAATTGCATCAACGTATCTTTTTGCCTTAAGGTAGTTAAAAGCAAGTTTGTATCCTGCACAAAAAAATAATAAAATTATTATTTATATATATATATATATATATATATATATATATATATACACAGTCAGGTCCATAAATATTGGGACATCGACACAATTCTAACATTTTTGGCTCTATACACCACCACAATGGATTTGAAAATGAAACGAACAAGATGTGCTTTAACTAGACTGTCAGCTTTAATTTGAGGGTATTTACATCCAATCAGGTGAACGGTGTAGGAATTTTACAACAGTTTGCATATGTGCCTCCCACGTGTTAAGGGGCCAAAAGTAATGGGACAGAAAGTATAATCATAAATCAAACTTTCACTTTTTAATACTTGGTTTGCAAATCCTTTGCAGTCAATTACAGCCTGAAGTCTGGAACGCATATAATCACCAGACGCTGGGTTCCATCCCTGGTGATGCTCTGCCAGGCCTCTACTGCAACTGTCTTCAGTTCCTGTTGTTCTTGGGGCATTTTCCCTTCAGTTTTGTCTTCAGCAAGTGAAATGCATGTCAATCGGATTCAGGTCAGGTGATTGACTTGGCCATTGCAGAACATTCCACTTCTTTCCCTTAAAAAAACTCGTTGGTTGCTTTTGCAGTATGCTTTGGGTCATTGTCCATCTGCACTGTGAAGCGGCGTCCAATGAGTTCTGAAGCATTTGGCTGAATACGAGCAGATAATATTGCCCGAAACACTTCAGAATTCATCCTGCTGCTTTTGTCAGCAGTCACATCATCAATAAATACAAGAGAACCAGTTCCATTGGCAGCCATACATGCCTACGCCATGACACTACCACCACCATGCTTCACTGATGAGGTGGTATGCTTAGGATCATGAGCAGTTCCTTTCCTTCTCCATACTCTTCTCTTCCCGTCACTCTGGTACAAGTTGATCTTGGTCTCATCTGTCCATAGGATGTTGTTCCAGAACTGTGAAGGCTTTTTTACATGTCGTTTGGCAAACTCTAATCTGGCCTCCCTGTTTTTGAGGCTCACCAATGGTTTCCATCTTGTGGTGAACCCTCTGTATTCACTATGGTGAAGTCTTCTCTTGATTGTTGACTTTGACACACATACACCTACCTCCTGGAGAGTGTTCTTGATCTGGCCAACTGTTGTGAAGGGTGTTTTCTTCACCAGGGAAAGAATTCTTCAGTCATTCACCACAGTTGTTTTCCGTGGTCTTCCGGGTCTTTTGGTGTTGCTGAGCTCACCGATGCGTTCCTTCTTTTTAAGAATGTTCCAAACAGTTGTTTTGGCCACGCCTAATGTTTTTGCTATCTCTCTGATGGGTTTGTTTTGTTTTTTCAGCCTAATGATGGCTTGCTTCACTGATAGTGACAGCTCTTTGGATCTTATCTTGAGAGTTGACAGCAACAGATTCCAAATGCAAATAGCACACTTGAAATGAACTCTGGACCTTTTATCTGCTCATTGTAATTGGGATAATAAGGGAATAACACACACCTGGCCATGGAACACCTGAGAAGCCAATTGTTCCATTACTTTTGGTCCCTTAACAAGTGGGAAGCACATATGCAAACTGTTGTAAATTCCTACACCGTTCACCTGATTTGGATGTAAATACCCTCAAATTAAAGCTGACAGTCTGTTAAAGCACATCTTGTTCGTTTAATTTCAAATCCATTGTGGTGGTGTAAGAGCCAAAAATGTTAGAATTGTGTCAATGTCCCAATATTTATGGACCAGACTGTACTATATAAATATAATATATATATATATATATATATATATAATATATATATACACATACACACAACACACACTATATATATATATATATATATTAATATATATATATATATATAACCACACATATATACACACATACATATACATACACACACACATACATATATACATCATATAAAAAAATATTGAAGTATCGAATGCTAATTTATTTAAAGTATATAAAGTCAAAGCTTTTTTTTTCAAGGCAAGGTTAAAACCATCCGTGGCTTTTTACCATCAGTGCCTCATTAGAGAAATGTCATATTGCCTGTAGAAGACAGGAAGTGGGGGAAGTGTTTCCAAAGTGAGGAGAATCCCTTTTTAGACATTCATCACTGTAACAAGTTTTTCATGGGAAGATCTGCCTTCTATTCCTGTGTTGGTGACAACTGAAAATTTTGGATTTTCCCTCACTCTCTGGCAAAAGACAATGGAACACATAGAGAAAGTGCATCTCCCCACAGCAAAATCTTACAGGGTTGCTAATCTTTTATTCTAATCTACAACAAAAAGTCTTAGGTATATCTTACAGCATTGGGAGATCTTTCTTCCAACATTGTTAAAGAAACCCACTGGCTTGGAGATTGTTAGCATGTTTAACAAAACAAGAGAGATCTGTCCATGCATAAATCCACTACTCATCACTATTAAAATAGCTGCAAGTCCTCACGCACACTGGACGTTTTTACAGAGGCTGTTTTTGGCTTTTGACGTTTTTTTTCTAGTAAACCCCCCAGAATGTTATCCTAGGTGTAGACTATAATCAACCTTTTTTGGCTGGAAAAAAAACCCAGGACTAGTGAATTTCTAGGAGTTTTTTAGCTGTAAAAACGCTCTAATGCAGAAAAAAACGCTGTAAACCGGCGTTTTTGGACTTTTATTGACACCCCCCACCAAATATTTTTTTTTTTAAAAAAAAAAAAAACCCGCTAAAAAACGCGAAGGCGGGAAAATTCCACTAACCACTAATACAAAAACGCTAAAAAAAAGCTGAAAAACTCACGTTTTTTAACGTGACTTTACACAGCTAATGTTACCAGCGTTATCAAAACGTCCCGTGTGCATGAGGACTAAGGCTTCATGCACACGGGACATTTTAACAATGCTGATAACGTTAGCTGTGTAAAGTCACATTAATAACGTGAGTTTTACAGCATTTTTGTATTCGCGATTAGCTGCGTTTTTTCACATTCGCGTTTTTTAAAGTCCAAAAAATGCCGGTCTGCCGCGATTTACTGCGTTTTTCAGCGTTACAGAGTTTTTACAGCTAAAAAAAACTCCTCTAGAAACCCACTAGTTCTGGGTTTTTTTTGAGCCAAAAAACGTTGATTACAGTCTATGTGTGCATGGACACATAGGATAACATGCTGGGGGGTTTACTGGCTGTAGAAAAAAACATCAAAACAGCCGTTGTAAAAACGTCCAGTGTGCATGAGGACTAAAGGTAAAAAAAAAAATTTTTAATAGTAGCTCCCCCACTGCTCCTAAATACTCACCTGAGTCCGATCTTGATCCAAGGCTGTGCACATCTGCAGCAGCTCTGCTCCCCACTCCCACAGGCTTGGATGAGAACAGATGGAGCTATTGGCTCCTGCTGCTGTCAGTCAAACTTGTGAGCAGAGAACAGGTGGCAGGGGCCAAGCCAGGCTAACTGTCTGAATAGAATCAAACAGCCAGCTTGAGATCATGCATGCACAAGTGGCTTCCTATGGGGCATTCAGTGAGGGGAGGAGCCAGGAATACCGGCGGGGGACCCCTGTGTTCTCCCCAACGGGAGAACACAGTAAGTACTGCTAGTGGCAATAATAGTCGCTAGCAATAATCACACTTAAAATCTGACAGGCTGGTTGTACCCAAGTTATCAATCGATCAACTTGGGTACAATAAGCCTGGCCTTGCACGATTCAAACCATCTATGGCCGGCTTTACTCACCACTAAGCAACTTATTCACTCCCTGGTTATCTCTCGTCTCGCCTTGACTATTGTAACTCCCTCCTCATTGGCCTACCTAATCACAGGCTATCCCCTCTTCAGTCTATCATGAATGCTACTGCCAGACTCATCCACCTTACTAACCATTCTGTATCAGCCACCCCTCTCTGCCAATCCCTCCACTGGCTTCCCATTTCCCAATGGATAAAATTTCAAAACATTAACAATAACATATAAAGCCATTTATAACTCTGCCCCAAATTACATCACCGATCTTGTCTCCAAATATCACCCAAACCGCTCCTAGCACGATCTCCTGCTCTCTAGCTCCCTTGTCTCCTCCTCCCATGCTCATCTCCAGGACTTCTCCAGAGCTTCCCCCATCCTCTGAAACTCCCTACCCCAATTTATCAGACTATCGCCTACTCTGCTCGCTTTTAGGCGATCTCTGAAAAACCTCTATCTTCAGGGAAGCCTATCCTGCCCTCAGCTAATAGTGGAATTTTCTACTCTTCCAACCAGTCCATCCCCCACAGTTACTACCTTTTGTACCACTAGCCCCTCCCTCCTAGATTGTAAGCTCCAAGGAGCAGGGCCCTCCTATCCTTGTATTGAACTGTATTGTTGCTGTATTGTCTCCTGTTATATTTTAAAGCTCTGAGCAAACTGTTGGCGCTACATAAATCCTGTATAATAATATTTCTGTGACAGTGCTGGTGCTTGGCTGCTCAGGCATCTAATGCTATTATTTAAATGGTGAGAACAGAATCTTACTCTTTGTGTAACCCCTGAGCACCATCTGCAATTGAAAAGAGAGCAAATGGAGAAGGCGGCATTTCTACCCACTGCAGGGTCCTTATTATCTTTCAAAGCTGCACAGCATAGCCTCCAAGGACCATAAGCTGTCAACCCAGAGGCTCACAATATGTAAGGGTACAACACACTAATACTGGCCACATATATGTAGATCTCCCTCACCAAGTACCCCTAGGCTGAATGAGAAACATCTATTCATTGCTCCATTGATGCTAAACAGCATGTACAGAGGAATACTCTCTCTGGATTTTGCATTAGACAGCCACTGCTCCAGCAGCTGCTGAATACCCAGAGAGTGCTTACTGCTTGTTAGATGCAGACGGGCCCCTTTGACAAAAATCGACTCTTGTTGAGCTATATGCTTCTGACAATGCCATGCAAAGCTCGCATTTCAGCAGAAATCTGCTGAAACTTAAACTGTGTATGGCCAGCTTTAGATTTAGAGAACCCTAAACAAACCTTGTGCCTTTAATCTACTGTTGGTTTTCAGTCTGAATCATGCTGCGTTATGTTAATAACTGTGACTATGGAACAGCCTGTCTGTTGGTGGTCTTGGCCTAGGAGTGCCCCTTCCTGGATACTAATGGAACTAATTATTATTTATTATTATTATTATTATTATTATAGAGGATTTATATAGCGCCAATAGTTTGCTCAGCGCTTTACATTACAATGGGAGACCGTATGGGAGACAGTACAGTAACAATACGATTCAATACACGAGGGGTTCGAGGGCCCTGCCCCTTGGAGCTAACAATCTAGGAATCTGTTGTATGACTCTCCCAAGGAAAATAATGACAGGCTGTTGTAAGTGTGTGACATAATTTCTCTGCTCTTACCCACAGTGGGATTAGTCTGGTTGCCGTACTTCCAAGCCATTTCATAGTTGCTGGCTGCGTCTTTATATGCTTGTTCCTTCTCCATGATATAGCCGGTGTATTCATAAGCCTTGCAGCATGACTGGAACAGGAGTCAATAACATTCATTGGAAATCAAACAACAGAAAAAATCTAAGGCACATCATTCATAAGGACTGCTCACGTGCTAACCACAAATATAAATTATATCACAAATATCACAAAAACTAGTTAAAAACGGGGACAAAAAAAATATTTGGTGGCTTTAACTTATATGTTACTTTGTTTTTCTTCTCAATTCTCCTCTTTTGGATTTTCGCTGAAAATCATTCTGTCCCTCTTTCCACTATAACTTGTCCTCTTAACCACTTCTAAGTCAGGACACTTTCACCCCTTCCAGTCCAGGCCAATTTTCAGCTTTCAACGCTATCACACTTTGAATGACAATTGCGTGGTCATGCAACACTGTACCCATATGAATTTTGTAGCATTTTTTTGAGACAGATAAAACTTTATTTTGGTGGTATTTATTCACCACTGAGATTTTTATTTTTTTGGTATATAAATGAAAAAGTCCAAAAACATTTTGAAAAAAAAAAAAAAAAAAAAAAAAAAAAAAAAAAGGGGGGGGGGGGGGGTTTCTTATAACATTTTGCAAATAAATAATCTTTCTTCATAGATCTTGGTCACAATGTATTCATCTATCTTTTTAGTAAAAAAAAAAAAAAAAAAAACCCAAATTCGTTTATAACCAAAAATTATATATTGTTTACTTTTTTTGTATATTATTTGTTTTTTTAACATACCGTCACCCTAGCAGTACAGTGTCACCATAGTGACACTGTACTACTTGTGGGGGGTGATGAAGATTTTTTTTTTTTTTTTACACTGATTGTTCTTACACCCATAAAGGCTGTAAAAGCAATAATTTCTCCTCTCTGGCTGCATTCTTGCAGCCATTGAGAAATACTGTGAGAGCTGTGATTGGTCACAGCTTGTCATATGGTACAAGACTGTTGTGAATAGCCTTGTACCATGTGACCTCTTCGATTATTCACAGATTTCACGAGTAGTAAGCAATGATGTCAGCAAGTGACATTCTGCTTACTACTATTCATGTGATTACTGATTGGCCAATCAGTGATTACATGATCGGGACCTCACACAGAGGTCCTGTACAGAGATCTGTGTTCCGGACACAGCGGGCACCAGATTGCGGTGCCGCACGCTCTCAGGTAGCACGCACAGGCTGTTAATGCAGGCGCCGTTTATAAACGGCAACCCGTTTCGGCACTGCTCCCGTCCGGCCGTTTATGTACACGAGCTGGACAGGAAGTGGTTAAAGTAAAACTCCAAGCAGAAATTAAAGGCACAATTAAAGCGGTTTTAAACTCAAAACCAAAAATGTAATAAATTGCAGCTTGCCGATCATTAGATGTGGTGGCTGTATTCGTTTTCCTTTTTTAAGGCTTCTTCCTCTCTGTTTTCACCTGATAATCTGACCAGTAACACACCTTCAGTATTAGAGTGCCTCCATTTTGGATGAAGGAGCACAGGGGCACCTTTGGACAGCAACATTGTCAGACTCAGAAGAGGGGAGTGTTAGATGCATCAGTAGATATAGATACACGAACAAACTGAAGCCAAACTCTAGCTCACACTGCAGTTATACAGTTACAGCAAACAGTTTTTTTTTCTTTTGTGATAAAGGTTTTACATGTATAAATAAAAGCTGATCATGGTAAGCACCCTTGTTAGTGGTAAATGTTTTGTCTCAAAACTCTAACTGCTACTTTGCAGGAGAGCTTGCTCAATTGAAAAACAACAGACTTACTGGCTGGATCACCAGTTGAAAATAAAGGAATGAAAGCTTAAAAAAGAAAACTAATGCAGCCACCACATCTAAGAACTGGTAAGTTGCAATATAATAGATGTTTGCTTTTGGGTTTAACACCACCTTAAGGCAGCTCTGTAATTATTAATACATCATTATACTTTTTAAAAATAAAATTAGTGTAAATACTTAAAATTAATTTGGTATCTGCCTCTTACAATTCCTTGTACTGGGAAAGGGAAGGGCAGCAGTAATAGCCAATTATGTGAGCTGCATGCAAATGTGCTGACAAAGAATAAGCTGATAACAAGAGAGAGCAGAGGGATGGTCTTATCAGTCTCCTACTGCTCCTTTACTAAGATGAGGGCGGGGGGTAGGAGAAGACACCACTGTATTCCTAACTGTAACAGAGAAGGTGTTGTCATCATTTTCCTGCAAAAACTCTGGCCTTTGGCAGACAAAACAGCTCCCTAGTACGTATGCCCATATTGTGTATTTAGATGTTTGTGTGGGGGTTGATGTTAGAGGTAACCTAGAGATAAGGCCACCCCACATGGCTCAACGTTCCAGCCATGGTTGTCACTATCTAGGTAGAAAATTGCTGGTCGAATAGTGACTGCATCCAATCAGATGCAAGAATTGTTCAGGTTTGAGTGGTGAGTGCTAGCTATCAGATTACAATAGCAAGATTTGTCCACCCACACTATATAGCAGTGATGGCGAACCCGTGGCACGCGTGCCACAGCCGGCACGCCGAGCCTTATCTGTGGGCACGCCAGGAGAATCCAGCGGCGCGCTGTCTTCCCGGCTGTAGTGTGCGTGACAGCCGGGTCCCCAGTGCGCATGCACAAGAAGCAGTGCTCTTTGTGAATGGTAAGGCGGTACCTGGGACACATGACAGATCCCAGAAGCCGCCGGACCAATCACAAAGCGCAGCGCTTCTCGCGCATGCGCACTGGGCATCCGGCTGTCCGACGAGCGCCCACACTACAGAAGCCGGGAAGACAGACACGCGCGGCTGGATAAAGGAACAGGTAAGATTAAAAAAAAAAACTCTGCGGAAGTAAGAGCGGGTACCTGTCAAATTCAGGTACCCGCTCCCCCTCCCTCCCCAAAGGTCAGCAGTCATCCCTGTGCTGTCCGCAGTCTCTGGTCATCCCTGTGTGTCCGCAGTCTCTGGTCATCCCTGTGCTGTCCGCAGTCTCTGGTCATCCCTGTGCTGTCCGCAGTCTCTGGTCATCCCTGTGCTGTCCGCAGTCTCTGGTCATCCCTGTACTGTGTCCGCAGTCTCTGGTCATCCCTGTGCTGTCCGCAGTCTCTGGTCATCCCTGTGCTGTCCGCAGTCTCTGGTCATCCCTGTGCTGTCCGCAGTCTCTGGTCATCCCTGTGCTGTCCGCAGTCTCTGGTCATCCCTGTGCTGTCCCGCAGTCTCTGGTCATCCCTGTGCTGTCCGCAGTCTCTGGTCATCCCTGTACTGTCCGCAGTCTCTGGTCATCCCTGTGCTGTCCGCAGTCTCTGGTCATCCCCTGTACTGTCCGCAGTCTCTGGTCATCCCCTGTACTGTCCGCAGTCTCTGGTCATCTCCTGTACTGTCCGCAGTCTCTGGTCATCCCTGTACTGTGTCCGCAGTCTCTGGTCATCTCCTGTACTGTGTCCGCAGTCTCTGGTCATCCCTGTACTGTGTCCGCAGTCTCTGGTCATCCCTGTACTGTGTCCGCAGTCTCTGGTCATCCCTGTACTGTGTCCGCAGTCTCTGGTCATCCCTGTACTGTCCGCAGTCTCTGGTCATCTCCTGTACTGTCCGCAGTCTCTGGTCATCTCCTGTACTGTGTCCGCAGTCTCTGGTCATCTCTGTACTGTCCGCAGTCTCTGGTCATCTCCTGTACTGTGTCCGCAGTCTCTGGTCATCTCCTGTACTGTCCGCAGTCTCTGGTCATCTCCTGTACTGTGTCCCGCAGTCTCTGGTCATCTCCTGTACTGTCCGCAGTCTCTGGTCATCTCCTGTACTTTCCGCAGTCTCTGGTCATCCCTGTACTGTTCGCAGTCTCTGGTCATCTCCTGTACTGTCCGCAGTCTCTGGTCATCTCCTGTACTGTCCGCAGTCTCTGGTCATCTCCTGTACTGTCCGCAGTCTCTGGTCATCTCCTGTACTTTCCGCAGTCTCTGGTCATCCCTGTACTGTCCGCAGTCACTGGTCATCCCTGTACTGTGTCCGCAGTCTCTGGTCATCTCCTGTACTGTGTCCGCAGTCTCTGGTCATCCCTGTACTGTCCGCAGTCTCTGGTCATCTTCTGTACTGTTCGCAGTCTCTGGTCATCCCTGTACTGTGTCCGCAGTCTCTGGTCATCCCTGTACTGTGTCCGCAGTCTCTGGTCATCTCCTGTACTGTGTCCGCAGTCTCTGGTCATCCCTGTACTGTGTCTGCAGTCTCTGGTCATCCCTGTACTGTGTCCGCAGTCTCTGGTCATCCCTGTACTGTGTCCGCAGTCTCTGGTCATCTCCTGTACTGTCCGCAGTCTCTGGTCATCTCCTGTACTTTCCGCAGTCTCTGGTCATCCCTGTACTGTGTCCGCAGTCTCTGGTCATCCCTGTACTGTCCGCAGTCTCTGGTCATCTCCTGTACTGTCCCGCAGTCTCTGGTCATCTCCTGTACTTTCCGCAGTCTCTGGTCATCCCTGTACTGTGTCCGCAGTCTCTGGTCATCCCTGTACTGTCCGCAGTCTCTGGTCATCTCCTGTACTGTCCGCAGTCTCTGGTCATCTTCTGTACTGTTCGCAGTCTCTGGTCATCTCCTGTACTGTGTCCGCAGTCTCTGGTCATCTCCTGTACTGTGTCCGCAGTCTCTGGTCATCTCCTGTACTGTCCGCAGTCTCTGGTCATCTCCTGTACTGTCCGCAGTCTCTGGTCATCTCCTGTACTTTGTCCGCAGTCTCTGGTCATCCCTGTACTGTCCGCAGTCACTGGTCATCCCTGTACTGTGTCCGCAGTCTCTGGTCATCTCCTGTACTATGTCCGCAGTCTCTGGTCATCCCTGTACTGTCCGCAGTCTCTGGTCATCTCCTGTACTTTCCGCAGTCTCTGGTCATCCCTGTACTGTCCGCAGTCACTGGTCATCCCTGTACTGTGTCGGCAGTCTCTGGTCATCTCCTGTACTGTCCGCAGTCTCTGGTCATCCCTGTACTGTCCGCAGTCTCTGGTCATCCCTGTACTGTCCCGCAGTCTCTGGTCATCCCTGTACTGTGTCCGCAGTCTCTGGTCATCCCTGTACT